ATCTCATCATTATATTCATCTCCAAAGCCAACATCATCATGATCCTCCACATCAGTATCTGCCAAGGACATCATGCCCCCACCATCTTCAGCAATGTCCTCGTCTTCATCCTCTCCATCATCATCATCTTCATCCTCATCACCATCGTCACCCATATCATCATCTTCATCACCCATATCATCATCAGCCCTATTTTCAACATGAAAAGTCATCTCAATTTGATCTGGGTTGTGCAAAACACCGCCCTCTCCCATCTCTTCACGCATGAAGTCCATTCCAAGTTCCATTGGTGGGTTTTGAGACAATGTCCCATCTTCTTCGACTCTCATATCTTGCTCCACTGACTGATTTGGATTATCAGCACAATCATCACCTTGAGAAGTTCCTTGATCATGTGCATTATCCATTGTATCTATGATTGCTTCTTGGCTGCCCACATTTTGATCATGGGCCACTGCTTCAGTTGCAGATGGTGCTGTTATTTGATCATCAGATCGATCATTTAAACCAGCAGATCTTTTCTTTTCAGTCCCATCAGATTTAAATATTTGCTCACTTGCATTAGCAGCTCTTGTAAGACCTTCTAAACCTTTGAGTATAAGATTCACAATTTTGGGTGCATCAGGATGATCCAGATCAACCACTTGTAGAATACTAGTAAGACACTGAATAATTCCCCCATCTATCATGCTCTTAGCAATATCAGGTGAATATCCAGAACCAGGTAAGCTACCAGATGACGAATTTTTTGACAAGATAGAATACACTAGATCAACAAAAGTGAATAACCTCTTATCTGGCAATAAGATGATTCTCATGGAATGGCTCTCAAAATTTGAAAAGGACATCAATTCTTTAACAAGTTCATTTGTCACTCGTTTACGCCCTTCACCAGATCGACCACACAAAACTACCAGGAACCATGAAGCCTTTTCAGATAACTTACCTCTCCAATCATCAGGTCCTGCAGATTTATCAACAGAGAGTGGTAACAACCGATGTAATACATGGTGGATAATACCACTTTGTCCAGATGGTTGATTAGATCCACGAAATTGACACATTTCAGAATCACGTCTAAGTATAACACCCACTGCATGCCCATACATCAGAAGAATGTCACTCAGTAACTTGAGAACAAAAGTCACCTTCACTAGTCCTGTAGACCTTTCAGACTCAGGCTCTAATGACCCAGCCTCGTCAACCTTAGACTTACCCTTCACTTTCAGGGTAGGTTCATCTATATCCATGAATGTTGAGTCACGCTCAGATTCTTCCTGACCTTTCAAAGGTGGGTACTTAAGCACAATCTCCAGAAGCTGATCAATTACTTGAGTGAGATTAACAGGAACCTTTTTGTGGCTTTTCAAACATTTGCCTGGTCCATCATGAGACTTGCTTTCAGATATCCGGACACATTCATTGGAAGATAACCCAGCCTCAACACTAGATGACTTTGACTTTTCTTTTTCTTTCTCCTTTGACAAAACAACAACAGTCCTTCCCCCTGATGTTTCTATCTGACAAACTGCTGCTGCAGCTTTCATAAAAACGTTAGGATCCCTGGAGATAACAGGTGCCAATGAGGTCAAAAATGATCGAGGAGAAACACGCCCTGAATGGCGATTTCCACTTAAAGTTTGCCGTATCTCCAACTCCATGGCTGTCTGCAGTGTTTGAGGATCTTCAAGGAGGTGTCGGACTATAGCTGACACAACAGAGTCATACCCAGGGAAAAAGCAAATCCTCGGAAGATTAAAAAGAGCAGCCAGACCTCCATTTTCAAGAAACTGCAAAGCTAAAGCATGTGTTTTTGTTAACCTAGCACATAATTGCAGAACTGCCTGCATGACTACAGCAGGAACATGTTGTTTTATCAAATCACAGGCAACATCCAGCAATTTATGACTCTCTTCAACAGTTGCAAATCCAGTAGATTTTCCCAGTATACTCTCAAAAGCCATTGAAGGTTCTTTCTCATTCCCATTTGAATTTTTTTCCTTCGGTAAAACTGTATCAGAAAATTGCAGAGAACCATGCTCCCCTGAAGAATCAGGCAGGGAACCAGTTTGAGTTCCTTCCATATTTTCAACTTTTGGTCTTGACTGCACCATTTGATCCAATATAAGTAGTAAAGCACTAATGCATTTTGGAACTGGTAGTTCTTTTCCCAACTCTTGCCTGCCTTTGAAGTTAGTCAAGATATCTATAATGGTAGATATAATGCCATTCTGGGCAGCAATTTCTCGAGTACTTACATCCTCAAAAAGAAGAAGTGCCAAGATATGTGCTAACACACTCAATGCACAATTATCCTGGGAAAAATCCAATGGACAAAGTTTTAGCTGCTGCATAAGATAAGATATTACCTTTGGACGATCATCACCTTTGTTCTGACTGCAAAGTGTCACAAGCAAATCTGTCAACTGAAATGACACTGAATCACTAGTCTGAAACAACTTGACAGATGCAGCAAGTATATCATCAACCGGAGGTTTCTTTACATGTCCCTCTTCAGTTAGCACGTCTATAGTCTTCTCAGCACTCTCAGCTTTAGTAGATTCCGAACTATTTCCTAGGGATAGAGCAAGTGCCCGAGCAAGTTCATCATCCTCCTGGACAGGATCATCAGCATGACTAAACAGCCACTCCATGGCCATTTCAACACTGTTTGTTTCAACTCTTCTCAACGCTTCCTCAGCCCTTGCCCTTGAAAAACCCATCTCAACAATAGTGGCAATGGTTGCCTCATCAGGTGGAGGGGGCATTCGTTGGTTTGTGCTTCCCCCAATGGTACCACGACTTCGCTTGACATCTCCAACACCAGAGTATACATGGGTAACAAGTGAAATAATAGATGCAATGAAACCAGGACTACAGCTACAAAACATGGGATGATTCCAGACTGGTAGAATTACATCCAGAACCTGAGATTGCAACATACGTACAAAAACTTCTGGGTCTCGAGGGACTGGAAAGAGTCCAATTGAGAGACCAACTGCAACTGGCTGAACAAGAAGCTCTGCCTGAGATGCCGAGGTTGGGGACAAAAGAAGAGAAGAATTTACAAAATACTCAAGCAAACGACAGTAGCTTTGCAATGTATCAAGTAGCCATGTATTATGGGACAATTTACCTCCTCCTTTTTTACCAACATCAATGTCTGATGAAGGAAGAGAACATGGAAGTGTCCATAGCAACTGACTAGTAGCTTCAAATGTTGTGAGGAGCTCTTTAAAAGTTCCATGGACATAAAAATTATTAACCATTGCAGTATAACAACTCCGGCGCCTGCTGTCAAATGTGAGAGCAGCCATATCATCCACAACCTTCCCAAGATATCTACATTTTACAGAAAGTGACATTTCAAGTCCAGAAGCATAAGTAGAATGCCCAGAAAAACTAAGAGCCTCAAGAAAATTTGTAGCTAAAACAGCTCCAAGAGTCTTTGAAGCTGAACTGAGTGACCCAGAATCAGCTCTGCGACGATTTGGTGAAGTGAATCCCTTCACAAGGGCAGTGAAGAAAGAGCGCAAAGTTGATGCCAATTTGTTAAGAATCTCTGAAACAATAACATCAGGGCTTTTCTTTTTCAGATCTTGGGACGATGGTGCTTCCAGTGCACTAGGAGGTGTTTCTGAATCAATATTTAAAGCTTCCAAATGACGACCAGCCCTTCCACCTCGGATGCGGGATATTCCATGCCGACTTCGGCGATGCAAACTTTCTCCAGCGCGAACAACAGAAAGGAATTCCCTTTCCCCACTCCACAGGGAATGTGGACCATTCCTAGCAAAAACTGGGTTTGTGTATCTTACTGACTGGATATTTGAATCATCGTCACTCTCTCTTTCAATGGTTGTAGATGGAGGTACCTGTGAAACCTCAGGCTCTTGATCAGCATTCTTCCTTTCCTCTGCCTTAGAATCATTGCACAATGATATTTGCCAAATTATTTCCTTGTAAGTTTTCCCAAGATCTTTCAACACATCGGCATCTGATGTGCTTAGTTCAGAGACAACAGTGCTTGTTCCCTTCAACAAAAATACAGAAAGAGTTAAGACAGCTTCAAGACTAGCAAGATATTTCAACACCTTTGTCTGCTTTGCAGATTCCACTAGAGCAAGTTGGGTCCCTCCCACCAAATCTAAAAGTTCATTAGTAGATTTTAGATGTTCCCTCAAGAAAGAGCATACGGCCCGAGCAAGAGAAACATAATGCTGCGGTGAGAAATTCTTGAAGGCAACAGATATGCTGTGCCCAACAGAAACAGATGCTGGCATCAAAGGTAATGTAACTAACTGGAGAATAGCTTCAATTCCTTTTTTCTCAACAAATATCCGACATGTGTCAGCATTCTGAAGAACTGTCTCAAGTAGACGAGCAATATTGTTAACACAATCTGGAAGAAACAACTCAACATTCACTATTGACACATCAGGAGATGGCTCAGAATTATGCTCTGTGTCATCAGCCTTTGAAGACTCATTGTTAGGTAAGATCACATTCTTGTCCTCACCATCCATTTCCATTGGAACCAATGATGAAGAGCTTGGGTCAGAACTCGAAGATGAGGATTCCACCACAGAACCAATTTTTGAGATAGTTTCCAGAATTTCAACTAACATTTCCACTCCAGGCCCACGCAATGAAGAAGCATGGCGCATTAATTCATCCAATCCACTAGACAAAGACGCAGGTGTGTCCCCAGCCAGAGCACGCAAATATGTTTTAGAAGTAAACACTTTCACAAAACACCTCAAAGAGTTCCTATCTTTCACAGCCTGCAGGCCATTACTATTTAAGCACAAGGCATCCAAACACTGGGGGATGCAAGTAATGGCTTCTGAAGAGTTGAGAACATCATCCATTATAGCATCCAAGAAGGCGGATGGAAGACCAGCTGCATCCAAAACAGGATAACAAGTAGGATCCTTTTGTATTAAGTCACTCATAACAGTAGCTGCAAGAGAGAAAACTCCACCACCAAAATCTTTTGACCTTCTAAAAATTATGCATAAGCAATGAGGCAAAACATTCTATTCAGATCCATAGATACGAGCAGTATTTCCAGGGGCATAAGTTCCCAGGGATATAGCACGCAATAAAGCTTTCATTAGCAACCTACGGTGATATGAAATTAATGGTTCAGAATACAATGGTTTTTGCACATCATCCAGCCCAGTTGAAGAACTTGTAACCATATTTACACTTCTTGCACTAGACTCAGATTTTTCATCTGGCTGTTTTCCACCATTTTCTACATAGGAGACTTCAATCTTTAAGCGAGAGATGGTATCATCCAAACCTCCCAAATCTCTGAATAGAGCAGCAGCTGGATTACTGTAATCCATAAAAGCCTCCAAAATGCGCACAGCCTTTTCAACCAAATGCAAATGCTGTGGGTTCGTATCTTTAAGGAGGGGTAGCAGAGTAGGAATAAATCCTGCTTCACGCATGGCAGAGCAACCTGATGATGTTGAAACCAACACGGTGACAAGAGACAAAAGAGCTTCAGCAAAATGAACTGACCATTTTGAGGTATTACTGGTAACAGAGTCAATGGCTTTTTGCATCAGGCTAGATAAAATGCCACGATGCCCACCAGATGTAACTGCCGTCTGTACTGACTGCTGACGAGAACGATCTTGGCAAAGAGCAGCTAATGCATGCAAACATAAAATCCGAATTTTCTCCAAAACTGCATCTTCATAGCTCAGTAATGATACTAATTCATTGATAAATCCAGGCTCAGCATTGAAGAACGAAACGAGGTCATCAGCATCAGCACATGCTTGAATTAGTACTATGAAGGCATACAAGCGAATGCATATATATTTCTGTCTAGAAGCCAAAGAACCAAAAGCCCTAGCGAAACGTAGTCTTGACAATAAAGAAAATCTTAAACTGGCAGGCACCTTATATTCCGTAACTAACTTGTGCAAAAGCTCAAGATCAGTTTCCACACGTTTGTCAATATCACTTAAGTGTATAATTTGCAAGCCTTGGACCAAGGGTTCGGCCACTTTTATGTCACTCTCTGGCTCATTTACAGCATAAAATTCAAAATGAAGGGTACAACCCAATTCACACGCAATATGGTCACAACCATCAGGTACAGCAGATGCAATCAATCCAAGTCCTTCCTCCTTTCCACCCCATCCTTGGGCAAGAGCATACAATTTTGAATTCAAGGAAGAGTCTCTTATGGAGTACTTTCCAACTGTTTTCTTCAAAAAGGTAGCCAAAGTGTCTAGGCTAGCCTCAACCACATCTGGATCAGTAGATGCAAGCAATGCAGAGAGATGCTGCTGCAGACACACAAACACATGCAGCATCAGTACTAGAGGCATGAAAGTCATATTTCAGAATAAAATACATAAAACAGATCACTGATAAAAAAAAGGTAACACAGAAAATCAATATGCTTATATTAGGTCTCATTGTTATGAAGATGAAAAGTATTACTTAAGGGAAGATGCCATACCTCATATGAACTATAGAAATGTTTATTTGTGCAATTATCCAAAACTGTTCTGATGACACGAAGAATTTGAAGAATGGCTTCTCTAGGGAATGGAGGATCCAAATTAAGAAAATCATCATCAATCAGCAAATCCTTCCTTGGTTTTATGTACTTCTCAAAGTATGAATCAAAATGGTTAAAAAGGTCAACCCAGTGATGAAAATCTCCCTGTACAAGAAAAAAAAAGCTATGAATCAAGCACCTCAAAACAAATGTGTGATCTCCCTAAGACAACGGCATAAAATTACCTTATCAAACTCCCAAACAAAACCCTTCAAAGGTTCTTCTATCTTCTCAAGTGGAACTGAAGTAACACGATCAATGAAACATCTAATTTTGGGAGGCTGAAACCAATCAACAAAAAGGTAATTCATACACTCTTTCAATTGATCTATCAATATGACCATCTCATACTGAAATTAAAATGACAAACTACTAAAAAATATAACTAAGATGATAAAAGAGCACACACTAAACAACTAAACTCATAACCATGTAAATGTTCAAAGAGTACAGAGGCAATTAATTAAACACATAACTTTGCATATTAAACATTGAAACTGATTTCCAGCTGCTAAATAGAAATTGTAACAAGACCCAACTCAAAAATGCTTTACCGATTGCAAAAAATGCAAAGTTACTTAAAGAACCCTCGTAGAACGCATTATTCTAGTTCTCAAAGGAAACCTCTCATCAAAGTATGAGACTGAATTCACTGGTAATGCATTGACAATATGAATTTAGTCAACATGGCTAAAATGAATTAAAATAAAACAATAAAAACACACAAACAACAATTAATAACCCATTAGTTTGGGTAGCTGAATCAATTGAACATAGGTGTTGGCATCCATCAAGACCAAAATATTTAGAAAATATACATAGAAGCTGTAAAAGTAATAACATCACATCTTGCGTCTTCAAAATTGTCATCTCCAATCCAATTTAAGCAAATTATGATTTCCAAGTCCATAGAAGTGTGGAGAATACTATATCTATGAATAGACTTGTCTACAGCAACAGGATTAATTTCCTTCTGAAGACATTTTGGTTTAATATTCAGAAAAAAAAAATATCTGTAACATATTATAAAGTTTTTTGTTACGAAAAATTAAAGTGTCAATCTATTAAAAGCTACATGTGTAATATATAAAAGTTGTAACAAGGAAATCTATAGGTGTGATGCTTTAGAATTGTGAAACAGGGACTAGATATCGATAGAAGAAGCAAAAGATAAGAAAATACACATCCTATATTTGAACATTAGAATAGGAATTAATCAAACTACAACCAAGTCAAAATCAGAAACTAAAACATTTATTAATCTTTAAAAATCATAGAGCATATGCAACATGCCTACATGATTGTTGCCAATTGTTGGTTCGTCAATTGTTACAACCAGAACCTTAGGTTACGCTATTGCCATCAGTTGACAAAGTATCGATCACTTTTTTTCTTCCCTTGAGAATTTCTAAAATAAAAATCATAGTATCTCCTATGAGGAGAAAAAAATCTTCCGCTAAAAATTATATCATACATAACATAAAAGGATAAGTCACTAAGGCTCCAATAAATAGTCAACAATACAACAAGGAACTGAAAAAGGGTAAAATTCATCTCAGAAAAATCCTTGCTTGCCAACACCAACAGTAAACATCAAAAGTTCCCCCATCAATAAACTAAACAAAATTGCATATAACAATTTGCACACAAAGTTGTATTTAAACAAGGATAGCTAATATACAAAATGACAACAAATATATTTCATGCTATGCTATTCCCTGATTTTCAAGTCAATTGCCCCTTTAATTTCAATGCAAAATACAACAGTACCAAATTTTCATGAATCCATGCAAAATAAGAAACATGCAATTCAGACCAAAGAAAGAGTCACCAAGTTTTTTTTTTTCCTTCACTTAAGAATTTCTAAAATAAAAATCATAGTATCTCCTATGAGGAGAAAAATTCTTATGCTAAAATTGATCAACAAAAGTTAGATCATACATAATGTCAAAGGATAAGTCATTAAGGCTCCAATAAGTACTCAACAACATGACAGCCAACATAACTGAAAAAGGGTAAAATTCATCTCAGAAAAATCCTTGCTTGCCAACACCAACAGTAAACATCAAAAGTCTCCCATCAATAAACCAAACAAAATCGCATATAACAATTTGCACACAAGGTTGAATTTTAAAAGGGATAGCTAATATACAAAATGACAACAAACATATTTCATGCTATGCTATTCCCTGATTTTCAAGTCAATTGCCCCTTTAATTTCAATGCAAAATACAACAATAGCAATTTTTCATGAATCCATGCAAAATAAGAAACATGCAATTCAGACCAAAGAAAGAGACACCATGTTTTCATTGTAACAGTATCGATCACTTTTTTTCTTTACTTAAGAATTTCTAAGATAAAAATCATAGTATCTCCTATGAGGAGAAAAAATCTTCGACTAAACTTGATCAACAAGTTAGATCATACATAACGTGAAAAGATAAGTCATAAGGCTCCAATAAATACTAAACAATACGACAGCCAACGGAACTGAAAAAAAAAAAGATAAAATTAATCTCAGAAAAATCCTTGCTTACCAACACCATAAACATCAAAAGTCCCCCATCAATAAACCAAATAAAATCGCATATTAACAAGGATAGCTAATATACAAAATGACAACAAACACAATTCATGTTATTCTATTCCCTGATTTTCAAGTCAATTGCCCCTTTAATTTCAATGCAAAATACAACCATAGCAAATTTTCACGAATCCATGCAAAATAAGAAACATGCAATTCACACCAAAGAAAGAGTCACCATGTTTTCATGGTAACAGTATCGATCACTTTTTTTCTTCACTTAAGAATTTCTAAAATAAAAATCGTATGAGGAGAAAAAATCTTCAGCTAAAACTTGATCAACTAAAGTTAGATCATCATAAAGTGAAAGGATAAGACATTAAGGCTCCAATAAGTAGTCAACAATAGACAGCCAACAGAAATGAAAAAGGGTAAAATTCATCTCGGAAAAATCCTTGCTTGCCAACACCAACAGTAAACATCAAAAGTCTCCCATCAATAAACCCAACAAAATCGCATATAACAATTTGCACACGAATCAGTGAAAACTCAAGGAAAATGGAAATAATATAAGATTGTTGCAACCAGAAATTAAAAAGACAACCAAAAAGATAAAAAATAATTAAAAATAACCCATAAACCCCAACAACAAAAAGACTGAATTGAGGAGAAGTAACCTAGAATCGCAAAATTGATCAATAAACAAAAGAATCGCGTATAAATGAACCATCAGAAAAAAAGAGAAAAAAAAGGAAACCAAAAACTAACCACTTCAAGTGCCCTTTTCCTCTTCAACTTCATCTTGGAACTAAGAGCATCGCAGGTAAGAAAAGAAAATAGATTGTGAGAGTTGATCAATCCCCGACCAACAATCGAGAATTGATCCTAATTCTGGAAAGGAATGAGAAAATTGAAGTGAAAGTGAGGAGAGAGAAGGAGAAGATTAGAGGAAGCGAGAAACCCAACTGAGAGAAGAAGCTGCACACAATAACGTGGTTTACAATTCCAATACCCTTCTATATATTTACAACAAAACTATCATAAATTAAATTAAATTAAATATAATAAATAGCACCACCTTATTATTAAACATAATAATTAAATATTATTATATTATTATATATTATTATTAGATGAAGATTGAAGAGGCAAAAAGAGAAAATGTTGGTATTACATAATTTTGTTAAAAATATGTTCCATCACTAATTATATTTTTTTCTTTTTTTTGGATTCCTTCCTTCTTTCTTATTTAATATCTTTTATACACTGGATAATAAAACACTGTTCTTTTTTTAATCTTCCACACTACCAAAAACTATTTTTCTTTTTAATCTTCCAGAAATGGAATATATCCGTGAAGAAGAAAAAGGAACTGCAAGGTTTTCTTTTTATACAAAGCAATATTGTTTCAATTATCAAAGTTTTGGTTATCCTTTTATTTTGTTATTAGATTTTTTTTAATTTGCCCTGTCAAATCGTCAATTTGATTTTTAAGATTCCAAGTTTTCAGTTTTTGTTATAAACCAAAACAAACATCAGCATCGGCAGAGCTTTTCATGGTAAAGCACTGACTTTTCTGTTTTTACAAATACTTTTTTTTATTGTGAAATCACTGGATTTATGAAGGTAAAAATATTATAAGTTCATGTTACTAAAATTGAAAAATATACTTATCTACATTAAAATAGATCCATCTTTTAACACATAATTTTGATCATATTTCACTTATTTTATGATCCGGTTGTTGAATGTTAGCACATTAAAAATAACACTTTTTTAAGTTTGTTAAAAAAATAGCATATATAAAAACTACTAACGTTATTAGTCAACAATAAACTTTAATATCATGCTTTTATTTATCAATTTGTCATCACACATTTTTTAAGTATATTTTCTTCTAAAAATATTTAAATTCACAAGCTTATAAGTCTATTTTATACTAGTATATAAGACATATGTTTTCTCTAATATTTTATAGAAAGAATCAATAATTTATTCTAAAATGTATTATATAAAATGACCAAAATATTATACCATCACCTAAATAAAACTTCAATATGATTTGAAATCATACAAACAATATTATGGTATTGGGTTTAAATTTCGTTTATCAAAATAATTAAATTTGAGATTTTATGCGAACTGAAAAAGAATATAAAATTGTAAATAATGAAATTGTAATCTAATATAAGAGTCTATAATATATATATATATATATATATATATATATATATATATATATTTCATATACATTAATATAAACAAGAGAGGGAGAATAAGTGTAACATACCAAATATTTAATTTTTTAATTGTAGATTAATACAAACAAATGAGTTAAGGTTGTATGATTAGTTAGTAGTTAGATTCAAATTTATATTTGAATATTTGAGTTAATAAGACCGATGTGATTTTGATTTTTATAACAAGAAATAATATTAAATTTTTTGTTATTTAACAAATTTTCTAAAGAGAAATATTTTCAAATTTGTATAACTAAATGTGTATAATATATTATTGTTATTGACATTATTTAATATTTTACTAGACACATAAAATAAGTTCAAAATAATAATAAACACGTATTAAAAATGTTAGTCAAGAGACATGAAAACTAGACAAGTCTCTCAAAGAAGCATTATATGTAAGATCACGAAGATAAAATAAGTCTCTTAAAGAAGCATTAGACCTATCATCATAATGATAGAACAAGTCTAGATGCCTATGACAACTACATTGAGACTAAATGATCATGCACTCAATTGACACTCTCAAAAGCTACAGACCCAAGGACACATGAAAGATTGTCTATCCTAAAGGTAAAGTCTCATGAATTTCAATGATAATCCTAACATTCAAACAATCTACTTCTAAGCATTGTGTGTTCATTTTAATGTGGTCAATAGAGATAGTTATTCAAAGAAAATTTTCCCCTCACTTAAACAAAAGGTGGTATATAACATCAAATGTTAACATAAAGTCCAACATATCTCATAAAGCTCTAACAAAAAGGACAAAGTAAAAGCCTTAAATTACAACAAATTTTTGCTATGATTTTTATAAATAGAAGACATGTCATGCGTATGAAGTTAGACGCAATTTGCTGGAAAAATAAACATACAAGCACTTATTTAAGCTTTCAATTTTTAACTAGCTTCTTAGTGCATATAAAAAAATATTTTCAGATAATGTAAAAAAGAGAGCTTTATTGTACATTTTTCACTCTTGTGAAATAATCTCTTAATAAAACAAGCAAATATTTCATATTCATTCATTTGAATTTGAATCTGGTAATCTAAACAACTTCCTTATTATGTAGTTTGTTCGTAGAAACCTTATGTACTCATTTTAATCTTATGGGAAGATTAACATACAAATAAAAGTAACTTTGTGTATTTATGGTAAGTATAAATGTTATTAATTGATTGATTATTGGAATCTGTTTTTTGTTAGTATTGCAAAACTATATGTAACACTTGTTAGAGGTGAACCAATATAAAAATAAAATATTCACTATGTTTTTCTTACACATTTTTTCTCTTGGGTATCATAAAATATTTTTGAAAGTATTTGTGAAAGTTAGGAAGACACGATAAGAAATCACAAATTAACTTGATTAACATAAACATCCATGTCATCATTGGGGTCTATGTGTCCTTGATTCCATCAATAAAGCGATGTTGGTGTGATTCTCCTTAGGTTAAATAGGTGTAGGAAGAAGTCTTGATCTACAATCTAACCTTTTGAGTGTTTTCAATCTCCATTCTTGTGACAAATGAATGAGCTTGAAATAGAGGGGATTAGTAATAATTGGGTGTTTCTCCTTCCATCCTTTAAGGCCCTGGTTTAGGACTTTAGAGATTCCATCAAACTTCCTCCTTATTTTTTCATTTTCTTATTTCAGCACATTTTCTCCTCCATATCTTTTGTTCATTGAGTTCCTTTCAGGTTCAATGAGTAACGTCATATAGTATGTATGATTCTCCTGTGCTTTTAGTATTTGTTGTCATTTGTTATTGTTCGTGTTCTTCGTTGATACCACATTGTCTTCTAATATTTTATTTAAGCTTCACAATGGACACCAAATATTCTTACAAGGACCGAAATAATCTTATAAGGTTGATTCTTCTCTTCAATTTTTCTCTTTCATGCTCACTCGAATTTTTTATTCTTTACATATGTCAGATGTTCTCTGTAAACTTCTCTATCTAAGATGGAGTGGAATGTTTCCAAAATAATTCAAATTAACAAAACATATTATAAGTAATAACATGAAATATTAACTTATTTTATAATATTTTAGTAAATATGTCTTGATTAACTCAATCCAATAAATTTATTAACTAAATGTCTTGATTAACTTAATCCAATAAATTTATTAAATTATTTATAATAGTTTAGTAAATATGTCTTGATTAACTCAATCCAATAAACTTATTAACTTATTTATAATACTTTAATAAAAATGTCTTGATTAACTCAATCCTTAATAGTTTAGTAAAAATATATTAATTAACTCAATCCAATAAACTCAATACTATGGTACATAGTCGAGATAATCTTAAACTTAAATAGTAAAATAGTTCATGAGATGAGTTTCACACATAAAAAATAATTAAAGTTAATCCTACTGTATTGTATAGACCCAAAATTTAGTTAAACGATGTATTGTATTCGTGATCACTTTTTAAATTTAATTTTTTTATTTGATATTAATTTTAAATTATATTTTTCAATCTCAAACTAAATTTAAATATTGTATGTTGCTACTAAATATTTTACAGACATTATATTTTTGCAAATGTGACTTGTAATAACATTATATAGATGATTCATAATCATGGCACGATATTGTCCTCTTTTAAGAAAAAAAGTATAAAAAAGGAAATACTAAAGAAAGTCACTAAATGAAAGAAAAAAAATGTTTAGAAGAATTAAATAAAAAGATGTGAATTTATAATCAAATAACAAAAGGTGAACTTTTTAATTTTTTTGCACAATTATTTACACATTTCTTTTATTCTAAAATTACCATCTATTGCTATTTCTTTCATTTTAACCTAACTGAATACAATTTCTAATTGATTTCTCTTTTACTTTTATTTAAATATATTATTTTTAATTTATTTTAATGAAAGAGCTAAATGAAAAATATTCCTATTATATCCGCTTCTTAATGCTAAAAAAGTAAAAAAAAAATAATTATTATTAAAATAAAACTTTACATTAAGTTATAATTTATTTAAATGAAATGTTATTATTGAAATATAAACACACAAACCAATTTATATGTTTGTATTGATGAATTTTTTTTTTACTGGAATTTGCCAATCATAATGTTTTCATTTATACATGATAAAAATTTATTTCAATAACTGGGTTAAACTTCTTAAGTTGTCCCTATTTATGTGATTTTTTCCAATTCAATTCTTGTTTTATTGGATTCTCCAATTTAGTCTTAAAAAAATGCAAATTTGAGTTAATTGAGTCTTTGTCGTTAAATTGGGTTAACGGGTTAACTTTTTGATGACCTAGTACCTTGACGTGGTAAGTTTAGTACGTGGCATTCGAAGGTTTATACGTCAAATTTCATAACATTAAATATTTTAAAATTAGGGTTTGTTGGTGGAATTTTTGGGTTTTGTTGTGTGCAGGTTTCATGGCAACGCATGGAGGTGGTTCTTGAGCAAGTTTATTCGAACAACGGTGAATCGTTATGGCTGATGACAGTGGCAATTCACGACGAAGAAGTCGCTATTGGAGGTTTGTTGCATTTTTGTGATTCTTGCAAGAGAACAAAATTTGCTCGCAATTTGACCTCGCCTCTCTAGTACGCGGTTAGGGTTCAAAGATGGTAGAGGACGAGATGTTGATGGCGGCCTAAAGGAGATTTTGCGTCGGCCTGAGCGCAAACGCGATTTAGGGTTCATCTGCGTTTGATTTGGAGTTTTCTGATTCTACAGGTGTTTCGCGAAGATGAAGAATTATGGTTGCGACAGCGGTGAC